TAAGCCGGACAGGCGCAAAGAATGTGTTCGGATGTTTCCTAATACTCAAGGCAGAACCGGAATTCTGATCCTCCGATCACATCAAATCGGTGCGTATCAAATCGTAGTTGCTTGCTGCCCGTTAGGTACCCAGAGAATGACCTGGTATAATTTCTGTTTAATTGAGTAATATCCGATCTATTAAAAGGGTAGCCGAAAATCCTTGGCTTTCTATGGCCGCCTTCTAGTACTTAACTACTGAGTTTAGAGTGTACGCACCAAGTAATAATGGCTCTGGAAGAGGACCAACTGAGACTACAGACATACCCCATTTCGCCTTTTTGTCCACCCTTGCTACAGAAGGTTGCGCAGGTCCCCCATAATAATAAAAATTAAAAAAAAAATTCAACAAATTTCCATCAAAATTTAAATCTTTTTAATCTGAATTCTTGGATATATACATAGTTACATGCCCCATGAAATTTTAGTAAAATGAGTGGAAGTTTTAAACAGCGATTTCTTCATATAAGAGGAGCAATTTATGAAAGCCGGCGTTGATTTTTGAAATATTTTTTTTTGCAAACGGTCTTGCGCATGTTCTTCAAATTCATCTTTGTATGGAAAAAACATATCAACAAAAAAGTATCAAAAATCTACGCGCTTAGCGCACATATTTTACTAAACTTTCATGAGCATGTAACTGCATAGTCAAAATTCAGATTAAAAAGTCCAAAATTTTTATGGAAATTTATTGCATTTTCTAGAGTTTGTATTAAGTTTGAAAGTTTGAGTTAATTGCTTTAGGCTAAAGCATGAAAAATATTTTTATAAAAAAATAACCAAACAATTAACTTGAAAAACATAAATATTTAAAATAAAATCACCATGCACTCAGTTTTGATAGCCAGTATAACTTTGTTTTGTTCAAAAGATATTGTATTCAGGTCTGACGCATTTCAGATACGCATGTGAAATTTTCCTTCACTAAAAATTAAATTTTACACAAAATTCCCGAGACTCACTACTCAAATAAATTGTACGTTTTAGCATAGTTCACAAAACTAAGTACAGTAATAAGCTTATTCACAACACAAACGGCAGGTGGTTATTATGATTTGCATTTGCAAACGGCATTCCTTGAATTTTTACGTAAATAAGAAGGTTTTAAATTTTTGATATTTGTTACAGCATGTTACATGTACGAGCATAAATTTTTATGTGCAGCAGCTTTTATTGAAAGCTAACTCCGAAAGCTAACTCTATTTGCAAGCCATTTTGTAATTTTGCATTTTCAGTAAAATTTATTAACTCTACGGGATGCCAAACTAAATAAATAGTAGCTGCTTGAAAAATAGTAACACATTTACATACAAATGTGTACAAAAACATGCATGTAAACGGGTGTCCTTTGTGTATGTAGGTATATTAGGGTGCTTTTTTTCGGTGACTATCTTTTTTTTTTGACTCCTATCTCAAAATTTTGTGGGAAATATCTAAAAACAAATTTAATTAACTGCTCGACCAAGGCGTGCAAAAATTTGCCGTTCAAAATACACGTAAACTATATTTTCATGAAATTCCTTTTTTTTGCCCCAATCCCATAAATAACAAGAGCTACAGAAAAACTGCAAACGACAAACTTCTAGGCCATTCAATTTCCTACAAAAAAAGTTGAAGTTGAGGTAGTGTGGAATTTTCATTGATTATTGAGCTGAATTGTAGACATTGTTGATCAACTTCAAAGCCAAATATATCAAGAAATATCGATAGTAACGATTTGGTGTTCTGAAACTTTTTGGTAGGAAGTTGAATGGCCTACAAGTTTGTCATTTGCAATTTTTCTGTAGCTCTTGTTATGTACGACATAGGTGCAAAAAACGGGAATTTAATGGAAATATTTGGTTTAGTGACCCGTACTACCTCGCTGGTGGGAGTTAGAGTTACGCCGCAATAGACACTCAAAATTTCAGGGAACTTGTTTTTAGGTATTACCCAAAAAAAATCGATGTGGGAGCCAAAAAAAAAAACAAAATAGTCATCGACAAAAAGCACCATATTGTATTTGTTCCACAAAATTAAAATATTTCTGCCGTGTAAATTTTACTAGTCGAACTGCCGTTTACCTAGAGTTTACAAAAACACACACAAATCTGTAACGAGTTCTCTGGCTGTTACGATTTTGTTTTATGGTCATGTTAGAAGTTTGTCTTTCTAGGGACAGACAAACACATACCGCAGCAGAAGGTGGCCAAGCCAAATGACAAAACGATGGCAAAGTTGGAAGGATGTATAATAGCAGTACCACACAGCATCTTCCGGCGTATTCTGGCATTTGCAAACACCATTCCAAAATCATATTCACAGTGCGCTGCAGCACATAATAAAATATTTTTGCACTGCTATGTCATTGTTTAGCTTAATAACTTCAAGTATTTGCATATAATTTATATTTTTTGGTTGAAAATAGAAATTTCAGCCATTTGTGCGCTTGGTTTGTATAAAATGCGTTAGTCTGATGAACAATATTTAGCTTTTGGTTTTAGGGAAAACATACTATTTAAATGTGTAAGTGTGGAGTAATTTTTGCAAGCGTTTTAGTCTTATTTATTGCAACATCAATGGGCACTTGAATGAAACATGTTTGTAAATATGTATGAATGTACGAAAATTTTGATAGTTTGGCCGCCTTTTATTAAATGTAATGCGTACTTGAAACACACTTTTTATTTTTGACGTATCACCAAAGAGACAGAGTTCAATAAAAAATATACGTATAAAAATAAAGCAATCGTGTTTTACAACATTTTTGGAAAGGTCTAAATAAATCTGTGGCATTTTACTAAAGTAAGTTATCTCGAGATAAGGCATTTTCTATTTAAAAAAATATTTCATTGAGTTCAACAATTAACTAGCCATAGGTGTAAACTTAATAGAAATATTAAGCTTTTTAAGCGAAACTTATTATTTGTTATTCAAAGTCAAACCTTCTAAAGTCACTTAAGTTGTTTTAATAAAATGCTACAAAGATATGTACCATAACGCTTAAATATAATTAAATATGCATGTACCAATATCAAAATTTTTCTCACAAGGTCCAATAAAAATGTAAAAAATATAATATATTTCCTGGAACTCACCCGTTCTTTTGACCAAATTAAAAAGACATGTGCCACTGTTGGGTTTTTTTTAGTTTTGAGTTGCGACGTTTGCCAAAGACCATAGATTGTACACAAATATGTATTAACACACTTTTATAGGCACGCACAAATATGGTAGCCTTTTTTCACATGGTGCGCGAAAGCCTTTTTCTTTGCCCACGCGTCGCTATATTGGCAAACACTGCTGGCGGCGCATGGGCCACAAAACTTTTTATTTAATATGCTTGCACTTTATAGATAGCAAATAATGAGTTGTATTAATTGTAATTACAACTTAAATACACTATAAACACTTAATAAATCACATTTTGCACTTAAATACTTAATTTAAATCACAAATTTAGTAAAACTGTTCACTAGAACCGACGCGCAGAAAAACGAGCAGCAAACATTAGCGAAAGTTGAAACACGACTGAGGATACGGAATCGCGGATGGCAGAAACACAGGGTGGAAGGAAATCAAATTTTAAATTATAATACATATTCAATGTAGTAGTGACACAAACCTCATAAAAAATTAATTCAAATAAATTTTCTATTATGCCGACGAAATTTGCCATGCATGTACTGCTAACAATATTTCCCATGACTCACCCTTTGATTGAATCGAATATTGGATCTGCATATACGCTTTGAATTAAAAGTGATACTTGAAATTGAAAATAAAAGAACACAATTTAATGAAACTGGGATTTTTAGCATATGAACTTATGTTTGTAGATATGTACATACTTTTGTATCTACATGCAATCATAATTTCTGTGACAATTTTTTTAGTGCCAACCTGTTAATTAAACAGAGCTAATTGGTTTTTGTCATGGCTAGATAATTTTTGAAAAACTTTCTAGTAAATTCGATGCCAGTGAAAATTTATGACTTTGCTCTCTGTGTTCCTATCGCCAACAGTTCCGTTTCCTCAGTCGTATTTAAGCCGCCGGTTGAATTAGGTGTTCGTTCGCTTAGCATTTGGTTTCGGGGAGGAAATAATTTATTTAATTTGTGAATCAAAATAAGTGCGCAAGTGTTTTAATAAAAGTGAATAAATTATTACGAGGTGTTTTGGTTGAATATGCCCTCTTTTGTAATGTGAAAAATGTGTGTAAGCGCAAAAGTTTTGAATAAGAAAATGAATGTTGGTCGATGCAGTGCTAAATCACACCTCACCCGAGTAAATGAAGGTGATTGCGCAGCTAAAAGTGCGAGCATTTTTGCGTTTGTATGAATGCGATGATGTAGATACTTATGCCGGTATGTAATGTACACTAGGCGACAAATGAAAGTGTCACCTTGATGTAATTTAATATTTATATAACAGGTGTGTTTTTTACAACAAACTTTATGTGCTTATGAATAGTTTTCGATAAAATCAAAATTACTTGTTTTAAATGGAAATTGTCGATGCTTGTTTTTTATACGTCAAGCGTAAATGTATATTCGTGTTAAACAAAATGCGCTTAATATTCAAAATTATTTTATTGAAAAGGCTTTGGATTAATTATGTATTTACGAAAATATAATTCATTCTCTTATATATACCATATATATCAAAGTTTTACACTTTATATAAAGTTCCCAAAAAATTCAAAAAGTTTTCATCAAAATTTTCAAATTTTTATTAAGAATCTCTAGAACATTTTCGAATATGCAGTTTTATAGCCCATTGAATTTTAATCTAATGAGGTGCAAGTTTGAACCGGCTAAAAAATTTGCGTTGCTTTGTGAAACAAATTTTTTTGGAGACTGCGTTTGCGTTAAATTTTACAAAAGCTGGCGTTTTAAAATTTGTTGCTAACGGTCTGGCGCATTTTATTTTATAAGAAATTCATGCTTACATTGAAAAAAGTGCAAAAATCCGTTACCAACAGCAATAAATTCTCAAAAATCAACGGAATTTTTTAGTCGTTTGAAACTTGCACTTCATTGGAGTAAAATTCCATCGTTAACAATACACACATGCACATTTTTTAGAAATTCTGAATAAAAGTAAAAAATTTTGATGAAAATGTTTTGAATATTTGTGAACTTATATAAAGTAGAAAACTTTGATTTATATGGTTTGAATGAACTATATTTTCCTAAATAATTAATGCAAAAAATTCCTCATCAAAATAATTTTAAATATGCATTGTATTAGAAAAAGGTGTACACTTTCATTTGTAATGTATGTATCTTCCAAAAAACATCTCTGAAGCTGTGATAGTAAACCTTGTATCACAATTAAGAAAGCTCCACATTTTGAAAAGTTTTAACAATCTATTTTTTCTTTTATAATTTTAGTTTTTTATAGACATATATCGTCACCTGAAATGCAAAAAAACGTAACAACATTGTCACTGGAATGGAAAAAATCGTGACCAATAATCTTTTTTTTCATTAAACGATGTGGGTAGTTTAGGGTTGTTCGACTTCACTAGAAAGTCGACTTTCGACTTTTCGATCGACTCTGTACAGTCGACTTTAAAAGTCGACCGATCCACGAAGAAAAGTCGACTTTGTTCGACTTTTTTCGACTATTTTAATAAAAATAAAATGTATTAAGTATACTCCGCATTTATATTAGCTATAAATATAAGAGTCAGAATACGCCAAAAATATCATGATTTACTAGTGGTCTTTAGGATAATCTGTAGTTTAGTGAAATTTTTAAAAATTTTGAAAATTGTTCTAGTTATACAGCATGAAAATGTTGGTTGTGAGGGTTTTTAAAAATTATATTTTTAAAAAATAATTTAAAAATTTTTAAATTTTCACAAAAGAAAATTCTAAAAATTTTTTGAATCGATATTTGTTAATTACGGACAACTTTTTGAAAAATGTGGCCTTTCCGATGGAGCAGAATTGGCGGGTATTGGTAGAAATATAAGTGCCACTTTATAAGCATGGATAAATATGGGAGTAGCCCAGACAACTAGTGGATTCGGACTATCCACACGACTAATGTCGCATATTAACTGGAATCCTACCAGCAACGTTTTTAGCGGCGTTTAAAATGTTGTACCTTACGGATTGGTCAAATTCGAACCAAAAACTGTCTGTAGAAACTTACATAAACTCATGCAGAAAAACTTTCTTGCATGAAATTTTTAAAATAAATACCCATGTTTATCTTACCTCATTATTAACTGAAGATTGTGGAGACAAACGATTAACAAATTTGAGGAATTTGTTTTCGTATAGTAATTTTATGCGCTGCTCTTAAATGATTTGACAATGTTGTTGTACTGTCATTAAAATTCATTTCTCTACCACACTTTTAAAATTTCACTTCAGTTTTATTGGCAATTTTTTTTAAATACGACCAAACAGCACTCCGCGCCCTTGTTAGAAGATCAGTTTTTATATGCAAATAAATTAAAAAAGAGTCGAGAGTCGAAAGTGAAAAGTCGACTTCAGTCGACTTCCATAAACTGAAAGTCGATCACTAAAATTCGACTTTCAGGAGTAAAAAGTCGATTTTGGTCGAAAGTCGAAGTCGACTTTGCCATCCCTAGGGTAGTTGTAATTCGATAATCCGTCATCGCAATAAAGAAGGGAATTTTGAATTTTTTATAAGTTACGACTTTTTGCATTTCATTGACGATGTTTGTTACGTCTTTTTGCTTTACAGGTGACGATATGTAGTTTATTCTTATACGAAAACTGTCTAAATCCGAGTTTCAAACTTTGCGCAATATTAAAAAAAAACACAATGTAAGAAAATAAGAAACTCCAACATTCAACAAAAAAATTGGAAAAATCAACGATTTTTTTATTTAAGAGGAAACTGTTATTTTATAAAACATTACTAAGAGTAAATAACAAACAAAAATTATAAAAAATTAATCATCTATTAATTACTAGTTACATTAAAACTTGGGGTGCACTTATAATTTTGACACGGGGTGTATACAAATACGTACATAGTAGTCGCGAAAAGTTTTAGGTGCCTCCAATATTCGATCAAATCAAAGGGTGAGTCATGGGAAATACTGTTAGCAGTACATGCATGGCAAATTTCGTCGGCATAATAGAAAATTTATTTGAATTAATTTTTTATGAGGTTTGTGTCACAACTACATTGAATATGTATTATAATTTAAAATTTGATTTCCTTCCACCCTGTGTTTCTGCCATCCGCGATTCCGTATCCTCAGTCGTGTTTCAACTTTCGCTAATGTTTGCTACTCGTTTTTCCGCTCTTCGGTTCTAGTGAACAGTTTTACTAAATTTGTGATTTAAATTAAGTATTTAAGTGCAAAGTGTGATTATTTGAAGTTGTAATTTGAATTAATACAATTCATTATCTGTTATCTATAAAGTGCAACCATATTAAATAAGAAGTTTTGTGGCCCATGAGCCGCCAGCAAAGTTTGCCAATGGGCAAAGTGGGCAAAGAAAAGGGCTCTCGCGCAGCATGTGAAAAAAGCATATATGTAATACTCCTATATTGGCAGTAAGAGCTAGTACCGTCCGAAAACACTACAGTACAGATTTATTAATAAACACGTACGAAAGAAAAGGAACACACACGTTTATAAATAAACATGTACACAACACATATACAAAAACGGCACTCAAGTACACAATACATTGACAAAAACGGTACTAGACTATCTCGCTTTGATTTCGGAATGCTTACACATTGAGAAGTTAGCTTACTGCCAATATAGAAGTATTACATATATGGAACAAGTAAGAGCAGCGCTGTCTTCGGCTATGCCGAAGGCTTCATACCTTTCATGAACATCTGCAAATTTTAGTTTGACAGATTACTGCTTTTGAATACATCTGCATACATCGATAGAGGAGTTACATACTTATATAAAAAATCGCATCTAAACAATCAGAGGTATGGAAGATATAGTTTATATGACACCAATCTAAGTGATTTTCACCGCTATGTGATCGGTATGTAAACCGGTAACACAATTTATTGGGTTTAGTTTCCTACATAAAGGAGATATATGGCAAAAACTGGTATCTGAACAATCAGTGCTATAGGAGATAAAGCTTATACAGCATAGATTTTGACGATTTTCACAGTAGACTTTGTATTATTATTTATAAAATATCTTACGAAATTTATCGGTTTTAGCTATTCAAATAAAGAAGTTTTACAGTAAAATCCAATATCTGAACAATCAGATGTATGGAAGATATATGTTGTAGTCATCCGATCCTTGTTATTTTCACTGTAAGTATTCTGTTAATAATGAGTGAAAATGGTGCGAAATTTCATGTTCCTAGCTGCATAAATGGAGGAGTTATGATAAAAGACCTCATATCTGAACAATCAGTTGTATGGGGGCTGCAGGTTATAGTGACCCGATCTTTATTATTTTCGAGGTAAGTCTTCTGTTGATAATGAGTGAAAACAGCGCGAAATTTCATGGTCCTAGCTACAT